CGAGCATCACAGGAAAAATTCCTAAGGATTCAAATCCTCCAAAAATCCTATGCAATTCCTTTGAATCAAAGAAGCCCTTACGTGTTGAGAAAATCAGACTACTTCCTCCGTTTTATAATATAAAAGCGTTTTTGACACTAGTGTATGTTAATCTATAGTGTATTGACAGCATACACATATGTATTTAAAATGACATAAAAGCTGCAAACCCAACAAAAAAAAGATAAGGTCTCAAATTTGTTAAAACCAAATGTACACCCAACACATCTGTGTAGTAAAGCTCGCAGCCCTTTGTAAGGTGCATATGTATGACACGAGTGACACGGTTGGGGTCTCCACTCCGAGCCTTTTCCAAAAGGAGCCACCATGTTTGAAAGCTGCGCAGGTTGTCAGCCACATAATACAGTCTCGTCTCCGGTTGGAAGGCGGCGGCATTCCCTTGAATTAGCTCCGGCACGGCGCCAACTCGATCACGAACGTCGACCGTGTTTCTCGACTCGGCCATCACCCGCAGGTACGTGCTTTCGTTCGGGATTCACTTATGTCCCCTTCCTCCCCTATACATGTTCTTCTTCTAGTACTAGCTTATTAAGAGCATCTACAACCGATCTCTCAAACCCACCTCTTAGACCTTCCATTATGTAGGCCAAAAGAGGTGCCAAATTAACTTCTGGCTCCGATAGCCGGTGCCCTCACGTTGTGAGGCCGGTGCCCCAACAAAACTTTCATGGCATCGGAGCAAGTAAGAACACGATGCCCAATTCCTCCAGCCAATAAAATACTATTAACTCTCAACTTTGAACAGCAAATGTCTTCTCTCTCTTTGCTCAATACACAGCAGCGTGGTGTACTTGTTTATCATATGGGTCCCAAAATCTTTTTCCTGCCGAAGCCCTACGTTGTGAGATCGATGCCTGAAAAGCAATTTTGGGCACCGGTGATGAGGTGGCTGCCTTTTGATGTATTTGGCACCGGCTACGCTGTGGAAGGCCTTACATACCGCCGGTCATTGTTCGGTCATGATTTTTTAACCCAGACGGGCGTCTTAAATGGTCCTCAACGTCCGAGCTGACCGGACCCCCCCTATCCAGCCCAAATATGAGGCGGATATAGGGCGCCCGGGAGTGCCCGGGCACGCCAGACCCCACCCCAAATTGCACCAAATCCACCAAACTCTTCGTCCTCCTCCCTCCAACCTTTCCTGCACCCGGACCCTCGCCATCCTCCACCGTTGCTCCCAATCCTCTCCTCCGGTCCCAATCCACCGCCGGAGATGTCGTCAAGCCTGACCCACACCGCCACGACGGAGATGCAGTCCGCCTCGTCCGTCGGCGGTGTCAATTCGTCGGATGCGACTTGCAAGGCGGAGAACGTCGCCCGCAAGTTGCGGCGACGCCGACAGCGAGAGAGGGAGGCGGCGGCGGCGCAGGAGGTTCAGACATGGTGGAGCAGTTGTCTCCTCCGCCGTGCCCGGATCCCCACACCCCTTCCCTCCGAGCGCCGATGCAGATTATGTGTCCGACCCCTTGGGACAGAGGATGATGCGACCGCCGGCTAGGCCATGCAGGACAGCTTTCCGCCCACGCAAAATGCCGGCGGCCGACATGTGTGACTCGCTGCAGCTCGTTCGAGCGCGAATGAGCACGGGCACCGGCACTGCCCGAGCTGCCCTCGACATGTTCGATGGAATGACCGAACAACAGTCGGTGCGTTTTCTTTGCTCCTGTCTGATCAGTTTTCAGCATAGACCACTATAGTTCATTTCGCACATGATGAATTCTTGCAAACCATAATCATGTAGGAGGCGTTCTTATCAGACATGATCAATGACAATGAAGATCCGATCGAAATGGAGTATGAATTGGAGGCCACCACCGCATTTGAGGTTGGGACAACATCCGATCTCAATTTGAGCAAAAGGAAGAAGAAGACCAAGACGCCGAAGGCAAGAGTCTGGCATTCTCAAGATTTGAGGATATCTTATTGGTCAAAGCTTGGTTGGCCACGATGATGGATCCAATACGCGGCACTGAGCAAAAGGGGAACACCTATTGGACAAAGATTTGAAAGGAGTATCACGAGCAAAAGGAGTATGTGGAGCCGAATTTGAAAGGAGTATCACGAGCAAAATGAATATGCGTCCGCTGGCGTTTGAGGGACCGGATTTGCCAAGTCCGGTAGAAGATGCTCTAAGTTCTTGGGTTTCTTGTAGTTAAAAAAAGTTTCTTGGGTTTCTCTACTTAGCATTCTATACTCCGTTCGTGATGTTTTGCCTCTCCTTTTAGCTCATCCGATACTTGTTTAATTTCACGACTCTAGTTTCAGAGCATTAATATGGCGTCAGTGCTACTGCTCAGCACCGTTACAGTCATGCTGAACCTATCATTCATATCATCAGCGCGGCTTCACCATGGGTGCAGAACACATTGCGGTGACGTGGAGGTCCCCTATCCATTTGGCATTGGTATCGGTTGTGCTATCGAACAGGGCTTCGAGATCAACTGCAGCAGGACCGCGGGTGGAATCGAGAGACCATTCATTCACCAATGGGAGATTCTAAACATCTCGGCGACCCGCAGTGTGGTCAATCCCGAGCTTTGATGACCATCCCGACATATTGCTACAACTATAGTACAAGAGAAATGGATGCCTACATTTGGGGTTTCAAATTAACATGCATGGCCCTATAGGTTTTCACACGCGCACAACGAGTTCATAAGCATTGGTTGCAACACAATTGGGTACATCTACAACACCAACGGCAGGACAAGGGATGCAACACGATGTGCATCGGTGTATGGGAGCCCGGGAGACCTGACAAATGGCTCGTGCGTTGGTGTTGGCTGCTGCCAAAATGTCGTTCCCAAGGGCTTAATGGGCTATAACGTCTATTTCTATGATGTGGATTATGTGAATACTTCAAATAGTTGGTACTACAACCCATGCAGCTACGCCGGCTTGGTGGAAACAAAGGCGTTTTTCTTCAGCTCCGATCATGTAACTACAAGTATGATACCTACAAGGGACGGCAGCCGGTGGTGCTTGATTGGGTGATAGGGAGTGCAACATGTGAGGTCTTCCTATGCATGTCGTAGCGGAAACTCCGAGTGCGTGGATTCTTCTAATGGCGCAAGGTATCTTTGCAACTGCTCCATTACCTCTCCGGTGGATGCACAGGCAAGTTCCTCCCCTTGCTCTGCATGCATTTTAGTTCGTAAGAATTTTTGTACATCAATCTAAAATAGGGATTTCTGCAGTGACAAATGTGTATAATACTAGTATTTTCCTCATCTCAAGCATGTCAAATATCCAAATAGAGAGAGGAAAATCAGGGGTTAGACTGCGTGGACTTGTCTCTTTAATAATGGACATTGCATATCACTTTTACAAATAGTTTTGTAATAGACAATACAAATCAGCAATTTAAAGAAAAGAAAAGGAGAGCAAACAATTATACAAACAATCTATTTGTACTCATATCATGTTGAACTAATTGTTATATTAGACTTTCCTTGCATCTCGAATGCCATTTCTCTTCAATCGTTGGTTAAAGAATGGTGCGGACAAATACCTTTGTGCTTAACATTTCACTTTGACAGTTTAACTTGACGTCGTTCCAGTAGAATTGTAACTCAATTCTTAGAAAGAGAACACGTGTCATTTTATCGTAATCCACTCATACTTCAATCTACATATTTGTTTATTATATTACCTTCGAATGATTCACTTGGGATCAGATTTTTTTCCCCACTGTAGATGTCAATGAATGTGAGCAGAGTCCAAGCCCCTGCTCTGAGTCTGCAACTTGCCAAAACATAGTTGGAGGGTACTATTGTTCATGTCCTTTTGGCAGCAAATTTGCAAAGGAAACAAACTCTTGTACCAACCGTTTAATAGGTAAACCACCAGAAGTTAACACCTTTCTTTATTCATCTTATAATCAATGATGCACCATTTTCAACAGCAGCAGCAACAACAACAACAACAACAACAACAACAACAACAACAAAGCCTTTAGTCCCAAACAAGTTGGTGTAGGCTAAAGGTGAAACCCATAAGATCTCGCGGCCAACACTTGC